GAACACACAAACTTCTTATCTGGAGTCAGACGCGCTACCATTGCGTCACAAAGTCTTATTAAGTAAAATGGGGATACTTGTTTAAACGTGTTTACTCAGCTTTGGTTTCATAATCACCAACGTTCCTTATGGACGTTTATACCACCTTAGCTCAGCTGGTAGAGCGGAGGACTGTAGATGAAGTGTTGGCTATCCTTAGGTCGCTGGTTCGATTCCGGCTCGAAGGAATTGGGTTTGAAATTCACCACACACGTTTCCACATTTTGTTCTGAGTTCGTATTGCCACATAAAAAAAGCCAATATGTCAAGATCCAAATCAATCCCATAAGGAATGTCGTTGATTACGAAACCACAGCTGAGTATTCAACCTTTTGATGTCAAGAAGAGACAGCTTGACCGCGACGTGATTTGAACATGCAACCTTCTGATCTGGAGTCACACGCGCAACCATTGCGCCACGAGGTCTTATTACTTGCGCCACGAGGTCTCAGAAAACAAGGTGGTGCTTCCTGTGTAGGGTCCTTGATGCATTCACCACAAAGAGCAGACTAAATTCCGCCAATAACCTAAAGACGTCAGGCTTTCTGAAATTCTTGATGTGTTGTTGTGGCGTGGGGCTTTTTCCATCCTTCGATAGCTCAGCTGGTAGAGCGGAGGACTGTAGATGAAGTGTTGGCTATCCTTAGGTTGCTGGTTTGATTCTGGCTCGAAGGAATTGGGTTTTAAATTCAGCACACACGTTTCCACATTTTCTTCTGAGTTCGTATTGCCACATAAAAAAGCTGATATGTCAAGATCCAAATCAATCCCATAAGGAACGTTGTTGATTAAGAAACCAAAGCTGGTTTCATGCAACCTTCTGATCTTGCGCCACGACGTCTCAGAAAACACGGTGGTGCTTCCTGTGTAGGGTCCTTGATGCATTCACCACAAAAAGCAGACTAAATTCCCCCAATAACATAAAGAGGTCAGGCTTTCTGAATTTCTTGTTGTGTTGTTGTGGCGTTGGGCTTTTTCCATCCTTCGATAGCTCAGCTGGTAGAGTGGAGGACTGTAGATGAAGTGTTGGCTATCCTTAGGTCGCTGGTACAATTCTGGCTCGAAGGAATTGGGTTTTAAATTCAGCACACACGTTTCCACATTTTCTTCTGAGTTCGTATTGCCACATAAAAAAGCCGATATGTCAAGATCCAAATCAATCCCATAAGGAACGTTGTTGATTATGAAACCAAAGCTGAGTAAACACATTTGATGTTGGACTTCACTCTTTTGATGTCAAGAAGAGACGGCTTGACCCCGATGTGATTTGAACACACAAACTTCTTATCTGGAGTCAGACGCGCTACCATTGCGCCACAAAGTCTTATTAAGTAAATTGGGGATACTTGTTTAAACGCTTCGATACATTAGGAAAATTAAACAATGAAAAAAGCTAAATGAAACCACTTGACGTTAGACTTCACACTTTTGATGTCAAGAAGAGACGGCTTGACCCCGACGTGATTTGAACACGCAACCTTCTGATCTTGCGCCACGAGGTCTCAGAAAACAAGGTGGTGCTTCCTGTGTAGGGTCCTTGATGCATTCACCACAAAAAGCAGACTAAATTCCCCCAATAACCTAAAGAGGTCAGGCTTTCTGAAATTCTTGATGTGTTGTTGTGGCGTGGGGCTTTTTCCATCCTTCGATAGCTGAGCTGGTAGAGCGGAGGACTGTAGATGAAGTGTTGGCTATCCTTAGGTTGCTGGTTCAATTCCGGTAACTTCTTATCTGGAGTCAGACGCGCTACCATTGTGCCACAAAGTCTTATTAAGAAAATTGGGGATACTTTTTTAAATGCTTCGATACATTAGGAAAATTAGACAATGAAAAAAGCTAAATGAAACCACTTGACGTTAGACTTCACCCTTTTGATGTCAAGAAGAGACGGCTTGACCCCGACGTGATTTGAACATGCAACCTTCTGATCTTGCGCCACGAGGTCTCAGAAAACTAGGTGGTGCTTCCTGTGTAGCGACCTTGATGCATTCACCGCAAAGAGCAGATTAAATTCCCCCAATATCATAAAGAGGTAAGGCTTTCTGAATTTCTTGGTGTGTTGTTGTGGCGTGGGGAGTATTCAACCTTTTGATGTCAAGAAGAGACGGCTTGACCCCGACGTGATTTGAACATGCAACCTTCTGATCTTGCGCCATGAGGTCTCAGAAAACACGAACTCAGAAGAAAAGGAATTGGGTTTTAAATTCAGCACACACGTTTCCACATTTTCATCTGAGTTCGTATTGCCACATAAAAAAGCCCATAGGTCAAGAGCCAAATCAATCACATAAGGAACGTTGTTGATTATGAAACCAAAGCAGAGTAAACACTCTTGATGTTAGACTTTCACACTTTTGATGTCAAGAAGAGATGGCTTGACCCCGACGTGATTTCAACACGCAATCTTCTGATCTTGCGCCACAAGGTCTCAGAAAATTAATTGGGGCTTCTTTGTTTAAACGCTTCGATACATTAAGAAAATCAGACATTGAAAAAGCTGAATGAACACACTTGACATTAGACTTCACCCTTTTGATGTCAAGAAGAGACGGCTTGACCCCGATGTGATTTGAACACGCAAACTTCTTATCTGGAGTCAGACGCGCTACCATTGTGCCACAAAGTCTTATTAAGAAAATTGGGGATACTTTTTTAAATGCTTCGATACATTAGGAAAATTAGACAATGAAAAAAGCTAAATGAAACCACTTGACGTTAGACTTCACACTTTTGATGTCAAGAAGAGACGGCTTGACCCCGACGTGATTTGAACACGCAACCTTCTGATCTTGCGCCACGAGGTCTCGGAAAGCGCCACGAGGTCTTATTTAGTGAATTGGGGATACTTGTTTAAACGCTTCGATACATTAGGAAAATCAGACATTGAAAAAAGCTAAATGAAACCACTTGACGTTAGACTTCACACTTTTGATGTCAAGAAGAGACGGTTTGACCCCG